AGCTTTTGCAATTGGATTATCAGCTGCTGGTACTGCAATTTAGATCCTGCAGTCCTAACATGTTTCTCCTTGAATCATCAAGGAGGTATCAGTATCCTGCACTCCATTTTCCGTTACAGCAGCCATCTAGATGTAAGTCTCCTTGCTTCGTGCATTAATGAGCAGTGCTGTGTATATACTGCCTGCCAGTATCAGCAGTTCTGTTTTCTGAACTAGAAATTGGAGAGCACTAGGACTCTGCTGATGCTCTGCCAATGTTCCTAGGTCCAAAATGCAGACCTTCATCTCTGGCCTCCACCTTCTACTAGGACTCTCTACATTACTCTGCTTTCTCTTTTTTTTAATGAGAATAGGTGACCTATTCTGCCTCAGCCATGCCTGTTCATTTGCACAAAACTGAAAAGTTTACACGATGAAAGCTTTATGCATGGTACCAGCTACAGATTTCTTTCATGTGTTTCACCAGCTATTGCACAATTGTGCTAACTACTGCTTAGGCCACTGCACTTACCCGTTTATTTTTTATTTAATTTATTTTGATTTTGGATTTTCTTGTGATTTCCAACTCCCTCCTTTGCTTGGGCAAATCAGATACGCTGTAAGTGCTGAAAATCTGATTCTTCATAAATCTGACTGCACGAATGATGGACTGTTGAGGCTTCCTTGAGTTCTGAACAACTTACTTGGTTCAAATCAAAGGTGGGTAAACCACTGCAAATGAAAGCAAATACCAAAGAATGCACTGAAGTTACAGAACAAAACTACAGCTATTTATAATTTCTGACAACAGAGTCACTCCTGAAAATAGTTGCTAAAAATTATATGAAGGCTTTGTTACCTGAGGCTATTTGTTGGGTTTGTATAAAACTGTGTCACAGGATATTTCCTTGAAACTATAGCAAGGCTTTTGCATCTTTCCTACCTAAAACTCTGAAAAGTAACACCTGTAACAATTAAACTCTAACTACTTGTTAGCATCCGATATTTGATTGTAGAGCTTAGCCAGCCTCCTGGAATGATGGACATCAAGTAAGAAGAGTTTCAGGCAGTTCAATCTAATTACATTATAATATTTAACCAAATTTGAAAGCAAATACAAACTCTTGTTTTAATATTAAACCTTCTAGTATCACCAAAGAGCTAGCTGTAAGGGTTTCGTGCTTTGTTAGAACAAGAACTATCTGCAGTTCCTTCAAAGTTCACTTTTAATCTGCTTTTGACAAAACTGATGAAGTCTTACAGCCATGCCTGAAGACCTGACTTTGCTCCTGCTACCAATGGCAAATAGGCATCAGTGTCAACAGGACTGCACTTCAGTGCCTTCCTCAATGTAAAACTAAAGATAAACAAGTGCCAAGAGTAGTTCTCACCTTTCCTAGAGGAGGCGGCACAGTTCATATGGGCAATGTCATATGCCAAATATTTGTATGCTTATCTGAGCCCTATTTGGAAGTATCTATAGAAGTTACATGTCCTGCTTTGATTTCTTTCACAAAATAGTATTTTACCTTTAAGTTGATAGGAATGCACATGCTGTTCGGAACTTTCCCAGGCTCTTGTATATCATGTAAGAGGTGATATTTTAAAAGATGTGAGTACAAGAGAAATACATCATGCTTGCATTTTCATTGATAGAGGCTTCCTTTATAAATTCTTGCAGACAGAACGATGTCTACTAGTATCTTTTTTGACACAGGAAGCTAGCGTTCTGATTTTTACAAAAAGAAACTAGAACAGAAGCCATCGCATCTGCTGAGAACCCTTCATGTTCATCTCAATATTATTTGATAAAACTCAAATTTCTCAGTGATTTTAAAACTATCTAACTTTTCCTTATTTTAAGTATTACTATTTATTGCTTGTTTTTTCTACCTACTTCTGAGGTAGACCATTCTCTAATTGGGGAAAATTCTCTGTAAAAATGCTATATCTTACCCTTCACAAATTATTTCAGCCCTGCTCCTTTCAAGAATTTATATAATAAACTGAACTCTTTCCTTTATGAAGTTCAATCAGTCATTCACAAATAGCACCTAGACCTCATAACACCACAAAGTCTCCAAAGACAAAGAGTGTCCTTCGCTGTGCTCGCACACCTAGATTTGCATAGATATCAGCAAATTCATAAGCTGGGAACTAGTTTGTGAAATACAATTTTGATGCTCACATTGCTTCTACTCTTATTCATTCCTAAACACTACTATGCTCTCAAAACCATTGTGATTAATTCAAGGATGATACAGAGAAATTACTATGTTTGCAGAGCTTAAAATCATTTTCCTCGCCCTCAAGTGCAAATTTTTAATGAATACTAGAATTGCTAAAGAGAGGCATATTGGTAAAACTGCACTGAATTATTGACAGGAATGTCAAATACCCTTTGAATCATTTAGGGTGTTAAATGTGGGAGGAGAGAAAAACAAAACTGGTTTTTATTTAATTAAAAAGAATACATTTCAGACTAGAGCAAAACATATAATCTTGAAATTTCAGTAGCAGCAGGACCTAGGACCTGTAGTATGACATTATCTTGTATCATGTACTATAATATGACATGCAGCTGGTACTGCTATATCCCACATATTTCCATTAAAATGTCTATTTTTAAATTCTCAGTTTATTAGCATTTTCCAAAATGTGGGTTTGTTTCAAAAATATCATTAAAATGTGTATGATATCACTAATTTCTTTTTGAGTTGCATAACTCCAGCAACTGGTTCATGAGAAAACTGCCTTACAGGTTTCAACAGGATACAGGATAAGCAATGACCTTTCCAAGTGACATGCAAATTGCAAAACAGTCGCAATTGTCAAATCACCCAGTGGAACAACCATTAAGTTAATTTTCAATCACACTTCCTAAGAAGTGCTTTTTGTGCGTCTGGACTGCTACCTTTTGACCTTGGTCTGCAGCCAGTTCTACTCAGCAACCTTTACACCATGTTAGCTATTCCCTTTTCCTACCTGACCCTCATTAGAAGCAACTTTCTTCCTGTTTTCTAATAGACATAGGAAATCTGCACATCCAGCCTGATGCAGTCCAAGACACTCACTGCCAATAAGACAGTCAAGCTGCAAAATGTTGCAGTAGTTGAAAAAGTCCAAGAACAACATTACAGAAAATCTTAAGTGATGGAAAACAGGGAAAATAATGGAACCCTGAAAATCAAATAGCATTATGGGGCTACTTCAGCTTCCCATTTTGTCTTCTGTTTTCTCACGTACCTACTATGTGAGATCCAGTAATTTGAAATCAAGTTTTTTTTCTCAAAGACAAGATATCCACCCATATCCTTTTGTCATGGACTTAATTGACCTTTTGCAGAGAGCACTGTACTTCCACAGCTTGCAAAAATAGAAAGATGTGCCAATGTGAAACAACTGGGAGATATACAGTCTCCCTCTAAAAGAAGATCCTTTATTTCTTCTTGTCCCACAGCACCACAAAGGACTAACCCTTCTTTCCTAGCCACCCCTCCATCTACAGCTGTGGTCACTGTTGAGCAGTCCCCAGTTCACCGCACCTTTGAATTTCACTGCAAGACTAATCCCTCCTGGTTCTGCCTTCACTGTGCTGTGGAGCCTGCAGCTGCCACCGACAGGTCTCGCTTGCTTCTCTTGAATTTTGTAGTGTTATTAGGGAACTGGCTGGGATAGAAAATTAATTTGTTTTTCTGAGGCTGAAGTTTATCATGCAAACCAGTTCTTCCCACCATGTGGGGTGTAGCCTCACTGGCTTTTATTCTTCTGAGAGTAATTTAATTTTTGTAACTAACTTCTTCATTAGAGGTTTTTCCTAACATCTCCTTTTATCTCTTTTGCTAGAATAGAAAGGGAATGTATCTGAATTCTTAAATGTTTTCACATAGACATAACATAACTTCCTGCCCAGCTTTTCCTGTGACAATTAACTTAGCCTGCATCACCACAGATATGACGCTGTCATGTTCCAGCTGTAAAATTGACACACGCAGAGCAGTGCATAAAGATCTATAAACAGAAAACAGGAACTAAAATGTGTTTCCATCAACACAATTTTTTCAGTAAGTACGGTGTGGTAGCAGAAGGACAAGTACTACAGAAGATGTGAACTACAATAACTCCTTGAACTTTCGACAACAGTCATGAATAACTCAGTATTTCTATTACGTGTGTGTGTTTAATCTGTATGATCCGAAACAGCAAAAAAACAGAAGTAAGAAAAATTGGAAACTGAGTATAGGTATTCCTGCATAGTTTTCAGCACTGATCCTTTTGAAAATCAGTCAATAAAAACTGCTGGAAGAGAGAAGAGAATGATGGTAAAGGAATTGGAGTACAAATGAACCTGCAGACAAGAAGATGTCCTGTATGCCTATGTCCTTTTTTGACATTATGATTTCTTTCCTCTCATTTACTAAATCCATTGATTATATCACACTGTAAGCTAGAACTTATCCTTTTTCAAGGAGCAATTAAAAATATCAAGGCAGTTGAATAATGCATTCAAGACAGATGGAGACCAAAATCCACTGAAAGATGAAAACATGTGATTAAAAAAAGTGTATTTTCCCTTCAAACTTTAAACAGGGAGTTACGAACACTACCTTTGTTGTTGGGATTTTTTTTTTGGGGGGGGGGGGCGGTGTCTGTGTGTTCAAGACAGACAAATATAGGTCTCATTCATGAACCACCTGAGTAAACTGTTGCAAATTGTAACATGCAATGAACGCAGCAGTTCAGTATGCACTCCAGAGATTACAATGGCAAACGAATGGTGCAAGAAGTTTCTGTTTCCTTCCTTAAAGTAGGTTTAAGATTGCAAACTAATCTCAAAGAGCTTATGAGTATCTCAAAGAGTTAATGAGTATCTTAAAAAATACTCATGCTTCTCTTAATTGTCCAAAGGCCAACTGATCCTGAAGTGTATAAAATACCAACAGATGAAGATGAGAAACACAGCTGAGAGAGCCACCAAGCAAACAGCAGGCAGGAACCAAGTGCTCTGTCTGCTAGGAAAGATGCCAAAAGGTGTTTTTACCTTCATTCGTCTTTTAGTGCTCTTACTCAGTTTCTCTACAATGTGTCTGGGAGTCTTGTGCATTTCCACAAGTTCCTCTACCTGCAGATGTGGAAAAAATGAGCTGGTGTTTTATTGCCTGTTAGCATTGGGGTTCTTTCTCCTTGTGGCTGGCATTTTCTGGAGCACTTTCCACGAAGTCTTGAAATACAGAGGCCTCAGCAGCATCTTCATTCTAAATCCCAGCCTTAGAGAGCTGCGTGTCAGCACCATAGACAGGTATGTGCTGCAAACTGATGCTGCTGAACTGGGAGGAAGGGAGGCTGTTTTGTAAACATACTGTGAGACGAACAAAGCAATACAGTTTTTACTAAATAAAAAGTAGGTAGCCATTTTATTATATTTCTCTGGAGACAGCTGTGGTCTGAAATTTGATTTGCTTGAGAAAGCAGCAATGTGTGCAAACAGCAAGTTGTACAAACAATACATAAGGTAAGGTATTCTGCAGGAAACTTAGCAGGTTGCACAGAATGGTCCAAAGCCATGCACGGAGGCAGCAGGTGCAGCTATGCTGACTTGATGGGGTTTCTGCAGGAGCATCCTTATTTCCATCTCAGCAGACAATCCCAGATGTGCTGCTGTGGGATAGGTGCTCATACTGCTTATGAACAACGAGGTATGCAGAGTGCTTCAGCGCTCTGTATGTTTTTTACCAAAGTGTTCTTGTGAAAAGACTGATACTTTGAGAAAGAGAGTTTCTTAAACTGATTGGCACTAGGCCTGACAAAAGTCTTTAACAAGCTAACTGGATGCACATTATTTTTCCCTGACTGTTGTGGAAACTGCACCAGAAATACTGACAATGGGTGGTCTAAAGGCACTATAGAAACAGCATCCACCAAATTTTGGTTAGGTAAGCAAAAGCATGCAAAACGTATTTTAAAACCGGAAAACCATGATTATTGTAATAATAGATTAACCTGTTTTGGACAATGACCTCTTTCTTCTTCAAATCAAACTTTTCTTGGACCTTTGTTGAAATACTCACAAATGTGAACGTTTGTATGCCCTGGGTGGTAGCTCTTTGTGGAGAAGGCTTGTCTTTTAGAATTCTGCATTTTAATATCGCATTTTGTAGAAAGAGACAGGTAATTATCCCAGCTATGCCTGCTGTTTTATATTAATGTATTCCACTGATCAAAACTACTTAGGTTTTCATTTACAGTTTAAGCCTCATTGAAACTTTGGAAACATAAGAGACAAAGCATCTAACCAAGCTCTCTGAGATAAATCACATTTCAACGTGTGTTTCTTTTTGGTTTGCTTTTTCTCAGACCTGACTTCTATCCACCCTCCTATGAATACAGCACAGATCCTGAAAAACAGACCAGCCCATTGCCAGTTGCCTCTGCTCTAAAACAGCAGAAATTCTTAAATATCCCTCCGCCTCTGTATAGTGAAAGCAGCGCAGAGTTCATCAGTGAAACTAATGAGCAGGAACAGCCACCACCATATGAATTATTTGCACAGCAGCTACAGCAGCAGCAAACAGCTGACCAAAAGCTGAACCTCGGAGGGGAATCAAATTCTCACCGATCCACGCAAGAAAACAGTTACCAACAGGATGCACACTGCTCAGAAAAAACGCCTGTCAAAACACCCGAGACAGGCAGTGGTCAAAATCCTGCATCTGTGAAGCACAGAAAACTGGAAGAAGACATGCATCAGTGATCCCTGAATAGTGTACCACGTAGGCTCAAACTGCCCAGGAAAAACATTGACTATTTGTGTGTTTGAGTGGAAGTGGAGGGGATATATATAAAAATGTGTTCAGTATTTCAAAGCAGAATGAATCTCCATAGAGATAGAAATAATCAAGCTGTATCTTGTCATAGTCAATGTCACTGGCAATAGGAATTTCCTATGCTGCAAGATAAAAGCGTCATGCTGTAATCAATCTTAAATGCCTTGTGTCTCAAAAGAAGTTTTGTCTGAAAGTCTTTCGTGGTTTTGTAACATTAGCTGACTTGGGAAACCTGCTAACTCAGCTTTTCTTTGGAGATTTTAAATTATTTGTTGTTTTTGTATCATATGCCTTCGAAGTTACCTGCTTTATTTTGGCGTAATAATAGCTGGTATTTTACTATTGAATTCATGAATAAATTTTGTATTTAAAACAAATGCCTTGCTTCTGCTCGTCTGATATGAGGTGTTCGTGGTTCAGTATAAGCACACAATACAGTATACTTAGTACACTTCCTAGGTACTAAACAGACAACCCTGGTCATGCCCATAGCTCCTACGAGGGAATTAGCAATCGCAGGAGGAAAAACCTTTGCTGACTATAACTGCACAATGACAAGAAAAATGACGTTCACTCGGATTTGGACCTATAACACTGACTATAGGTGTTACGCTTTTTGTTAGAACCATAGTATGGTTTGGGTTGGAAGGGACTTTTAAAGGTCACCTAGTCCAACCCCCCTGAAAGGAGCAGGGACATCTTCAACTAGAGCAGGTTGCTCAGAGCCCTGTCCAGGCTGACCTGACTGTACCTTGTGATAGTTCTTTCTCTCACTGATCTTTCTGAATTCCTTTTTCTACTCTTCCTCCAGCATGCTGGGAGTGTATCTTTGTATTGTTGGGTACAAAAACATCTGAGGTTTTGGGAAACAGAAATACTGTCCAAGTAGGTGCTGCTGCAATCACAGCTGAACAACACAGCGATCTTGCAATTTCCAGACTTGATGAAACTGTTAATCCAACAATAGCCACAGAAGGGTCTGTGTCTGTCGTAGCACCCAGATTCTGAGATATTAATACAAACAGTATTAGTAATAGTTTTCCCTTTGCTAGATGTATCATATGGTTTTAGGAGCCTTGCACCTTTGCATAAGCTTACCTATGCTGCTCTTTTGCAAGCGTTCATTTCTCATGTTACTAAGTAAAAGACCTCAGGAAAAGCTGTACACTTCATGAGATTATGGCTACCGTCATTCCTCAAACACATCAGATGTAAAGATATACACTGTACTTCAGCCTTCCTTACAAAGTTTTATTTGTCTTCTTGTAGAGAAAAGCAATTAACTGGTACAAAATACCAGTTGTTACATATTATCAATATCCATTCATAAAAAAGGGATGGTGAGTGGATGTGGGTTTAGGCTAGTTCTGTTTGACAGCTATTCAAAACTGCACACAAACAGCCATTTTCTCCAATTCAGTGCAGAGGCACAACTATTGCTTCTGAAGCCGAGGACGAAGGTCAGTGCTGAGATATTAAAACATATCCTTTGCTCACAAAGACTGCCCTTATGAAAGCAGACTGCCACCTACTGTAGCTGCTGCTCTAGTGGCTTTCTGGTAAAAGCACCAACATGCTTCTTCCCAGTCCTGATTTGTTCCTCATGAGTCTTCACACTGCATCTCAAAAGACACTTGGCTTCAGTACATCTTACTTTTCAAAGTGCAAGTCCTAATCCCAGAAGTTTGGCAAACGGGACACTTTCTAGTATAGCTAGTTCACCGTGTGATCAAAAATTATTTCATTGTCAGAGAATGTGTAAAAGATTTTAGAAGTTCTTGGACTGCTTTTCAGAATGTTCTTTCCTGCAGCCCAGTAATTTGAACTAAGGGTCATAATCCAGGGTATGTTTGGCCATGTCTGATCCAGTAGTTAAGAGCTTACTATCTTGCACCTAAAGGAGGTTGATCTATAGGAAAAATGAAAGATTAGTTAAACAAGATTTCTAGAAAGATGAATATTCTTACATTCAAACGTAGATGTCTAAATTGTGTGAGAATGCCCTGGATGTCTTCAGAAAAAAATCTTTATAAAAACCGAACAACTGACTTACCTAAAATCTCTTTTGTTTTATGGGACTACTCAGTGGTAAGGTAGAATACTATGTGAGAACATTAGTATCTGATTTGTTTAGAGTCAATTAAGTAGATAATGTAATTGTATTAAAGGCATTTTTATTAGGATGCTTGAAAGTGCAGTGTCTTGTCCACAATTATGTATTAAGACAGAAATACAGCATTACTCTTTATTGTGTACTAAGTGCCGTAGCAATTTTTTGACAGAACTGTTGAATCAAAATATTTTCATTTCCTGAAATATTATATAAATTGCACTAAAATTTGACAACCGCAATGAATTGAAACACACTGCAAAGAGGCAAGTTGTAACTTGCCACCTTCACGAATGATACAAGTGACCACACTGTTCCCAAGGAAGCAAAGCTTTCAAACAAGTCACATGCATAAAGTGTTTGTAGTCTTCTTCAGAGCACAGTGTTGTAGCTAGGACTGAAGTATCATTTCATAAGCAGAAAAATGCTATGTCCATATCCCCAGTATCCTTCTCAGATCTATGCCGGGATGTCTATTCTCCCTTTGCACTCCCCAGATTTTTTCCCATGATCCACTGTTACAAAGAATCTAATACAAACTGTGTCCAGCTGGTGAATCAGACAAGTATCTCTATTTAATTCATCAGCATTTGTTCTCATTTCCTCTTCACTACGCATTTTACTTACCACTTTGAGGTAAGTAAGTGGAGCATAAATACTCCAAAGACTTACAAAACTTTCATAATAACTCTTTCAGGAAAAATTGCTGAACTTGCAGTGATTGCCTCTCAAACACAGTAAGCACCAATACCACCTCCTGACATGGGGAATATTGCAAAAGCCAGCCAGATTCCACACCCGACATATTGCTGGAAGGTCACAATCAGCTTCTATAGCACAAATGCCTTTCTTTGGAGAAAAAAAAAAAACCAAACAATCAAAAAATCAGGAGTATCTAAATACACAAGTCACATTGATACGCTTTAAAAGCAGGGGTAAAAAAATATAAGATGGGATAGCCCCTTCTTTGGGAGCCTGTGTGTGTGTATACAACACTGCTGCCAGCGTGCATCTGTGAGCAATGGGAGAGACAGGAGAGGAAGAGTGGTGTCACGTGCAGAAATGCACCCTTTGCAAAGCATAGTATACAGCCTTTATGCCTCAGACATGCTCTGTACATCTCTTTGTAAACCAGCAAGATGGTGACAAGGATCCCAAACGATATTTACCAAGCATGTCTTTGTTTTGCAACTTGTCCCCCCTCTTCCTAACTGAAATCTCCCCAACTTTTATTACAGCATTCAAAACCAAGCAGTTTTCCTTTTCTGTCACATTGTTGAGAACAGTTGAAGGTTAAGGCCTCTTTCTTTGGTTATATTGTTATCTGAAATTAAGATATTGCAGGTAAAACAAAATCAATACACTACTGTATTTGGAGATCAATGCAAATGAATATGCTCAATATTATACTGAATTTTTCTTCCCTCCCTACCTCTATCCCCAAGAAAACTTTTATAATCATACAAGGCACAAATGGCTAACATGTTTCAGCAAGATCCTGTCTCTTCCTTGCTGCTCCTCTTTTGGCCCTGGTTTAACAATCTTCTGTGGCTTCAGGTGATGACAGTGGGTCCCTTTCGCCCTGTCCTCTCATGAATCTGAGATATTTTCAGTGCGATTGCTATAAGAGGACTCAGCACAGCCTAAAGAAAAGAAACACACTGAATTACATAAAGCAGAAATATCAGCAGACATATCTATAAATCCTCCCTTTAACTGTAGTATTATATAATAATAGTAAATAATTTAATAACAAGCAGCACTAACACAGCCAGAGTGTCTGTATTGTTATAGTTGATACAATGAGTATCATGCTGAGTGTATGTTTTGTGAGGTGTTACACTGAGTATACCTAAGCTATGCAGAAAAAACAGTAAATACACTACACTGATAATTTTTCTAACAGGAATTGTGGAGTTCTTGTGAAATCTGCTGTACAAAACAACCTAGAAATCAAAAAAGTAGTAGTATTCCTATTCTGATGAGCGTAAGGGATGCAGATGCGATCTTTTTTCTGTGAAGTTTAGAGTCAGAAGGTAATGTAACAGTTACCTTAACAGAATCATAAAAATGTGTTTTGAGTAATACCACCTGTAATTGTATTAAATAAGACAAACTGCAACAGAAGCAGCATGAACTCTCAAGTTTCAAGCTACATACTTTATTAAATGGCCATGTGTACAAAACTGCCCAGATAGGTGAGTGCATGTAACGACTGTGACAGTACATGTAAAACCAAGTGAAATATATTTTTTCACATGTCAACTGAATCTTTTCTTAGTTAATTAAATGATATGCAAAGATAAATTGGCAGAGCTGAGTTTTCAGTGAAAACCTTACTTTCAGAGAATTACATATTTGATTACCAAACTGGGTAATCCCTCGAAGGTTTCCCACTGTTGCCTCTTTTAAATAAACTACATCCTAACTTTAAGCCCATCAGGTTTAAAAATCAAATGAACAAACCAGTAATTCTGGAGAGCTTAGATTTACAGGAATCCTTTTAATAAGGTTAATATAATCAATACTTTGAAGCCGTTTCAGCAACCTAGGAGTTTCTAACAGTATGAGGTGTTTGCTTTATTTATACAAATGGTCAGACAGTTAAGAGTGAGCAGACTAACTGGGCAAGCAGAGTCAAGGAATAACACCATGAATGCCACTGGTGTTAAATGAGTTTGTGATCAAACTTGGTTATGCACAAGCGTGAGCAGACTGACATGCTGTTTTGTTCAGAAAATTCCGTATTTGCAGATATCTATCTACTGAAGAATCACTGAAGCAGAATACAAGTCCATTAAAGTCAAACGTGTTTAG